AAGGCCACAAGAGGTCTCCGCAATGTTGTAATAGAGAAATTGCAAGTACAAGATGTGGAAGATTTGATCCACAGACCAGCCATGTGTTCACAACAATATAACGAAAACGAACCGCTGGAATTTTATTGCGAAGAATGCAGAGTTCCTATTTGCCACAAGTGCAGTGTAGTGGGCCATAATCGACACACCATGACAGACACTCAGAAAGCTGCAGAAGTACAGAAGATGCAAATGATGGACGCTTTGGAGAAAGTGAAAGCGGAAACCGTTGTTTACGAGAAAAAAGTAAGGAAACAGACCGAGTTAATGGACAAGAACAGGAAAGAAATTATGTCGTGCGAAAAGAAGATAACAGATTTAGTGGAAGATTTGATTCGCGATTTGCTGGAACATGAGAGGATCATGAAAACCAAATTTGGTGAAATTTATGAAGCGCAACGAAAACATCACGCAACACAACTAGAAAACTTTGAGTTGGTTTTGACTCAACTGAAAAGTTGCGTTGAACGAGGTGAGAGTATCGTACAAAGAAACATCAGTGCTGAAATTCTGCAAACAAACCAAGCTATTGTTAAACGCTGTGAAGAACTTCTAAAAGCCAGAAAAACTGACATTTATCAGCCTTCACACGTAAATTATATGGTTGAACAGAAAGTGAAGATTTTGGATCGTATTGTTGTCAGTGACACAGATCCTTCGCTGTCGTTGGCTGAAGTGGCAAGTCTGAAAGATTTAAGAGAAAAAACGGAAACAAATTTTACCATTGTAACCCGAAATTCGGATGGGGAACAGTGTTATCAGGAAAAGGATGTGATTAAAGTCAACATATTGAGTCCCTCAGGTGATGCACTGGAAACAGAGATAAAAGACACCAAAGACGACAAGTACACAGTAACATACACACCACAGTGTGTTGGACAACATGGAGTAGAGATCCAAGTAAATGGACAGCCGCTGACTGATAGTCCTTGGGTTGTACAGGTGATTCCAAATCAGTATCAATTTGCGTTTCAATTTGGATCAACAGGAAAAAAATGGATGCTGCTGTGAATGATAAAAGTAGAATTCTTACTGTTGCTGATCATAGTAATGAAAGAATTCAGATGTTTGCCTTTGAAGGAAATTTCCTCAGAGAGATTGCACTGAAGGGTGAGCCTCGTTCGTTGGCTTTTACCGAGTCAGGTGACCTCCTTGTCAGTGTTTATATTGACTCGTTAAAATCGCTCAACAGAAGAATTTTTCTCTTTACTGAAAATGGTAAGTTTATTAGATACTTCGGCGGTGAACATGTGAAGAATCCGTGGTACGTATCTGTTTCCAGTGATGGTCGCATTATCACAAGTGACTCTGATGACCAGAGAATCAAAGTTCTTACAGGTGACGGGAAAAACTTATTTCAGTCATTCAAAGCCCCAGATTGCGATGAAACCCCAGACTGTGTCGTTTATCACCAGGACAAGTTTGTTGCTTCTTTTTGTTTTGCTAGTCGTGTCATGGTATTTAACAACGCAGGGGAGTATCTACATGACATGGGCAGCCACGGATCTGGTGACGGGCAGTTCTCGAATCCTCAAGGTCTCGCTATTGACAAGTTGAACCGTTTGATCGTTTGCGATGTTGGAAACAGTAGTCTGCAACTTTTCACTCTTGATGGAAAGTATATCGCTCAGATAGCTGGGAGTTTTTTTGAGAGTGGCTTCCCTCGTTATGCTGTCATCTCCAGTACTGGACATTTGTTTGTTACTGATTCTCGACAACACTGTGTACGTGTTTTCCATTAGCTCTGTAAGCGAGCCAGTGTGTTATGGAAATGACATCCGATGGTATATTTTATTGTTACGAACCATTTCAGATAATTAAACAATACCTTTTGATATACTAGCAAATAATAACTAATAATACATTGTCTCGATTTTGTTATTTGAATGACACACTTCTTACGGACCTCACAAGAAACGTCTGTCTGTTGAAAGAAAGGCAAGATCAAATAGCCATTATCCTGCAAACAGAGGCTTCTCTCTTGCATGGCTTTTAGCGTTTACGAAGTCGTTCCCATCATATGTCAGTCAGGTGGTTGGTTTGTTTTTTAAAACAAATACCCCAGGAGTATAAAACAAACCAACAACGCGAACGACAAACGCCAAAACCCAATGCACGAGAAAGAAACTTTTGCTTACAAAGGTAAATAGCCATTCACGAGTACAACGTTAGGTTATCGCAAGGTAGCGATGAATATTTTTTCTTACTTTTTCAAACGAGTTAAATTGTTATATGTTATTAGCGGGGAACTCATTCATTTATTAGAGATTTAGTTTCTTGCTCTCTGTGAATAGGTGCTCACTTAAGTAGGTCACTTATATATTACGAATCCGGGTTCACTAACTGGCTTTGCATGGAACACACTTCGCAATCTCCTAATTTTCTGTTTTACTTGGTAACTTATGGGCTCACTTAACTTTGTTATAGTACTTTTAATATTAATTTGACTCACTCTATTTTTTTTTTGAGTTAACCTTCGGTGAGTGTAAAGAAAGTGTCAAGTCGTTTCGAACACTTTGTCGGGAAAGAAATAGGTGATGCTTAACTTGATTATTTTGTGATTAAATATTAATTAGAAATTGACATTTGTAGGGCAAAGAAGTTAGATTTCGTGACATTATATTTCACAATAATTTAGACAAAGGTCGAGTATACTTACGATATAAAATGATGTAACTGCATGTATTTTCTTGGGCTAAATAAGGCGATTTTGTAATAGTCACTTAATTTAGATGCATTACAATGGGAACCCCTACCGTACATGTGATTAATCTAAAAATACTGCCTTACCCAAGGATAGTAGAAAAACCATTGTATACTTAGAATGTTTTACTTGATCGTTTATCGTTGATCGTTTAGTTACGTTGATCGTTGATCGTTGTGTTGCGACCGTTGAATATGTGAGAATTGTACATCGCTGTAGATTGTTGGAATGGATTAAATCGTGTTGTTACATCGAAAGATACAGTCCTCTTGATTTGTTTGAACCAGCGGAGCGGGGTTAAAAGAATTCCGCAACACACTTTTAAGCCTCTCATTGAATGAAAGTTTGTATGCATGTTCTTCTTTTCTCTTAACAACGGCTTTAAAGTGTACATCGAAGGTTAACAACGCGCATTAGAAAGGAATTACCTAGCCCGCGCGCGGACGAAATTAAACTCTGGTTAATCAGAGTTTAGTTATCGTCTGCACGCAGACTAGGAATTACCTGACGAAAAGAAAAAACTTTATTTTTCACTTCCAGAATAATTTAAACAATATCGCATTTTTTACATTTTTCAAGGGCTATGGATATAATTAGTTATTTGTAATAACACCAAAGATTATTTCTCATTGGAGCCCGAGATGATAAATGTTAAATTTCACAAGAATTCTGAAAACATCGTTAAAATTCTGAAAATTTCATGTGTTATACTACTACATAAGAAATTTCTGCAATTTGATTGGCTTAGAGCAGTGGTACTTCAACTTAATTTGCAATACCTAAATGTGAAAATTACAAGCCTTTTGCGGGTAGTAGTATAACAAATAATAGCATGATATTTGGCATACTTGAAATATTGTCTCAAATTTCACTGGCCCAACGGCTCGTGAAATTGCGTATAACAATTTCGAAATCACTCGCGGTATTTATGCCAGATATCACTACAAATCATGCAGTTACCTATATCCAGATGTCATTTTGTGAAATTTGACATTTATTTTCTCGGGCTCTCATGAGAAATATTCTTTGGTGTTATTATAGATAGCTAATTACATCTAGCCCTTGAAAATTGTAAAAAAGAATGCTAAAAATATTGTTTCAATTATTCTGGTCCAGGTTTTTGTCCACTGAAAATTAAAATTACTCACGTTTTTGATGGATTCTGTCTTAACCTCCCTTGCGTTACACTGCTTTTTGTCAATCATTTCGGAAGAAGTCTAGTTTGTTGGATAGGAGAGGGGTGGGGGTGCAAATGAAATGGAGAGAGAAGCAGTGTTTTATTTACACCTAATGGAAGCGATCGGTGACATGTGCGTTATTGGTAGGAGATAGGTTTTTCCTTTGAGGACGAGAGGCTAGTGGACTATATACCATTTTGATGGGCTCCTGATACCATGCAACCACTACAGTCATAACGAGTAAAACTAAGCGAAGTAAAACACCACAGTACCACAGACGAACGTCAACTCTATAATTTAAGTAAAACATCAAGCTTTGAAAGCGTTTATTTTGGGTGTAATGTACATCAAAGACTGTAAAGTATCTCTATTAAGGTATATTCGGCACCAAAGTGTGTAGTAGTTGACTCCCTGTTGACAGATATTCAGTACAGATTTTAACAGCGGGTTATAGAATAGAATACCACAGAAAGCAACAAACCTTATCAGACATAACTTCACGAACCCGGCGAGTCGCTGAGGACTCTTGTAATGAGGGATAGTTCTAATTTTAAGTTGTATTCTACATGAGCTGTTGTTGATGTATCGATTGTGGTCAACTGTAAACATCTGCAGTTTTCTCGATGTCTTTGAGATGGAACTGTATGACTGACTTTCGGCGACAACAACCTTCTTGTGTACGGTGAAGCTGTATTTCACGAACTCAATAGCCTGCAGGGCTAATTCTCCCAATTCACTACCCCTTGCCTTTCAACGCTCGCTACGCACACCCAACAACTCCATTATATAGCTGGAGGCCTTCTCTATTAGCAGGCACGGGTGCCATTGAGTTTCACCCTGTTATTCGGCCGCCTGAAGCCCGTGTTCTACTCTCCTCAGTAGATTTCTCTGCTGTTTGTCTCTTTGTCTTCAGTGTTCAGTCCTTTGAGGAACGAGGCTCCTTGTTTCTCTTTGCTCATTTCTTTATAATAATTAGTTTAAATACACTGAAAAGAAAATTGTGGCCCTGCTTTTAGTCTGAACACTCAAAACTGTCAGTGAAGTCTTAACAGTAACCTCATCATGTTGACCACTATAATACAAGCACCTCTCTAATACGAACACTTTCTTCTGTCCCATACGTATTAAAGAGCCATTCTACTGTACTTGGCGTCTTAATTTTCAAGGATCCTTTTATTTAACCCTAATTAACTTGGAATATTAAACATTTCTTGACCTTCCGTTTGAAATCATATTCCCCAGAAACGTTAGTTGGATCCATTGAAGAGCTGCAAATATCAAAAACATCAGCACGAGGGAAATTAGGTGTGAACAGTCTTTCGTCTTTTTGCGCTCCCACGATCATTTAAGCTTTCTTAATTTTTAACCCAGGTTACAATTCACTGTCTAAATTTTTTTATCACCACACGGAATGCTTTGACAAAAGAACGAAAATTATTTTGTATTTTGTTATTATTTCTTTTTTACCTAAGAGCGCGTTTTGCGCTTTGTAATATGCTTGTGACAAACGGCATGACTGGAAGGGTGCTGTAGAGCTTGGTTCCTTGAAAGATTGGCAAGTGTAACGTCCAGGGTTAAGCCTCATTTTAAGCAAAAATTCCTTGCCTAGAAATATATGTAACCTAAGAAAACAGATGACATTTCGCGACGCCACAAACGGTTTTCCCGCGAAGTGGCCTTTACGAAACTAGCCTGTGCACACCCCCCACCTCCCCTCAGGTAAAATTGACTTCTCTCCTCTGTATGGTAAAAGAATGTTGATTGCTGTTGATGGTCTGGTGTCCATTTGAACGAGTCTCGTCCCCATGGCCAGTAACCAAGGGAAACCATTCAGATTAAGCTCGGCCTTTGCCACTTTGTTCTCTCTGGCAAACGACCTCAAATGGTGTAAAAATTGACTGGTTATTGAAGCAACGGAAATTATTTTAATGAAAAATAAAATGATCTTCGATAAAATGGAGCTGCGCAGTTTTTTGTCTATTCGTGATTTTCTTGTACGTCATCAATAAAGAAAATGTAGTGAAAATCTGCTTTCGACGAGAACAGGTTGCAATAAAATCAGGCTATCGGCGAGGATACGATTTACTTGCTATCTTTTCAACAATTGGAGGGCAAGAAGAAAAAGTTTTACTGTAAATTGTTTGTGCAGTCAGATTATGGTCTCAAACTGCAGAGTTATAGTTATTAATAGGAAAAAACCATGAGCTATTTTACTGCCGTAATTGTCAAATACGAAACAATGGCTTATCGCCTTTTAAACCTTACTATCAGATATTTTGAAATAGTAAAGGTCGTGGTCTACATGTGGTGGGCCCGATTTTGTAAATAAAAACAAATGGCATGGAAACTTCGGCCCGATTATCATTTTGGCCTTACTTTAGGGCCTGTTTACATGGAGTTGGGGGACCCCAGGAAGGTGAAATAACCCGCTTAGGTGGGGTAACCCCTTGTCCAT